TCCTGTTCATTTGTATTTCCAAAAGAGAAACGGGGGGGTGAAGGACTCTGATCCCACTTTTCCAGATGCTCCAACAGGGAGGATGTCTGCTCTGCTCCCTTGGCAATCCGCCGTCTCGACCATCTCAGCGTTAGATGTGTTCAGGACACACAAGGATTTCTCACGTAGGAGTGCGTGTACGGGACGTGTTTTGACGCTTGACAGCTCAAAGCACACTGGGTCAAAAAAGAAGTGCAACCTTTGGGGATTGGACTCCCAACAACGAGCTATGCTATGCGTCAGTCTCCCTCAGAGAAACGCTCAGGAACTTTTTTTTTTCCACCAGTCGCTCACGCTCGTGCACGCGTTCACATTCGCATGCAAGCACATGCTCGGGTGCCTTTAGCAAGAACACGGAGCCGTGCTCTCACTGCAGACTCTCACACCCTGATGTTGAACGGACTTGTTTCCAAAATGGCTAGGTGGAAAGCGAGGGGTCAGTGTCTCAACCCGCCCTGTCACCTCGGGCTCATTTCTCAGAGAAAACCGTGTGCCGCCGGTTGTTGTAGCGCGCACTGCAACAGTAATCCGGGCAACCGGGTTGTGATCGCTTTTAGCTATTACATGCGGTTGAGTTGCTCCTTTTTGTAACCGCTTTTCCTGTGATTAGAACAAACCACTGCAAAGTCGGCTTCGGTATGTTTTGATCAGACTTTCAGGGACAAGTTTTAATCCAGACTCCACCGCAAAAGTCATGAACCTCGCATCATTATTACTTTATATTCACCTTGAAAATTGACAGAAAGTCATCCAATCTTTAATAGCAATAGTTTTCTAGGTTTTCTGAAAGTCTTTGGCTGTTTTTTTTAAACCATTTTCCAAAACCTGGTCAAAATAACCTTAATGTGGAAGTAATAAATTACTACCATCCTTAAGGTCCAAGTTGCCATCTTATGTTAAAGCCACCTTGTGGTCGGATCGGATCATTACATTGTACATTACATAACCTGTAGGCTCATACCATTTTTGCGGTTCAGTATTCAAGGATTTTCCGGAGCATTGACTACAAATCATTCATGGAAAACACACCTACTCACCAAGCTACTATTGCTGTCTGAAGGAATCCACATCTCCCGACCAAAAACAACCAGTCAGAGCCAGGAGGAGGGCCACAGCGCTGTCAATCGACCGCATGTACTCACTGCTCATTCTCCTAATAGTGAAGAAACAACTTACCATCACAGGAAAACCGTTTATCCACCACTATCGGTGGCCATGCTTAGTAGCCTTAGCAATCACAACAAGCTCAGGTGCCTTCAGCGTAGCAGAGAGCAACACGGGTAGAGGGCAGAGGAAATGAGCGGCACCACACGGAGGGTGATTGGCAGCACTAAGAGCCGCCTCCTGGTTCTCATTGGTTGTTTCCAGTTAGCACTGGAAGTACCAGGGGAAGGTGGGAAAGCTCAATTTTTTTTCACAAATTATCTGTCTCATAGCAGACTGCCACAACATTTGCACAACATGGCAACCTGTGGAGGATTCAAAGTTTTTTGTTTTTTATTTTTGTTTTTTTGCTTAGATTTGGTGTTTCAGGCCCTGTCTTCTCTAATATATTTTTTGCAAAAATGTATTTTGAACCTCTGTGTTGGTGATAAAAACAGTTTGCAAATATTTGTGGTGTGATCATACGTAGCTCATTCAAAGTTGCGTGTTATGTTGAGGCACAATTCAGATTTCAGCTGTCTTTGCTTTCATTGAATGTGAAATAAAGCCTCAGATGAAATTAGCTCAAAAATATTTGGCGGAAAGTCATTCAGAGCTTTGACCATGTGCAGGCTTTTCTTCTTTTGTCTTTTTTCAACAACTCTAACGTTGAGTCCGCCGCCTCCTGATGGATCTGAGTCACGCCAGAGGAGCGTCAGAGGTGTGTATTCACAGGTTTGCGTGTACCACGTTGATTGAATTGTTGCTTGAATTGCAGTAACCTGGCAGACTTTCCAGACCCTTAGGCAGAGCTTCTTTGCTCGAAGTCTTGATTCGACAGATTTCATTTGAATAAAAGAAGAAGAAAAAAAATAACTGCTTCATTTGGAGGTGGCAGTTTGGCAACTGATTGCTAGAGGACCTGTGACTTGAGCAGCTGGTGGCAGAACCTGATGAGAGGTTCGAACTTCCCACCTTCGCTCCGACTGACACAACCGCCTGGGCTTGGTTCCCTCCTGGCAGCAGATGAACTAAAACGCTTGCATACTGATTATCTTTAAAAACAAAAAAAAAGATCTGCAGGGCAAAGTCATAAGGAAAAAATATTATTGACTCTCTACTGCAGCTACTATTTACTTCCTCCTTTTTTCCTGTTTTTGAGGCTGTTAGGTTTTTTGGGGGGTTTTGTTGTTTTTTTTTTTTTAGCTCTGGAATATTTTTGGTAGTCTTTGATTGAGCTGAAAAAGAAATGCCTTTAATCGAGGCTACAAAGGAGCCGAGGGACATGTCCCCGTCGGTTCTGCAACAGATCCAGACAGATGAGGAGGAGGCGGAACGGAGGAGTTTGCATTGTTAACAGTCTGTGGGGAACAGTTTGCGTTGCTTGTGGTTTCTCGTCCCTGTGAAATGGAGACTCAGTGATTTGGTTTCCCAGGCTCTGTTTTTGTCAGGGCCACACACACAAAAAAAAGAAAAAAAAAAGCCAAATGAAGACGTTTCAGACTGTCCTTGTTGCTGTTTATAGTCCAGCAAAGCAGCGTGCCTCGGAGCGGCACCGACGGTGGCACACGCAGAGTGTTCGCAGGGCTCCGATTGTAAGCGGTGCCGATGCATCGAAAATAGAAGATAATGCCTGGTGTAGTTTGAGACGCAAAACATAGGTGGTTGGCCTCAGAGGAAAGCCAGAAGAAAGTAAAAGCAGCCACTCCTTCTGAGCCTGTTTGGCTCAGCATTGGGGTTATTATCTCCTTTATTTGGTGTGATTGCACAGCGTCATGTAGCGACTTGCTTAATGTCACAATGAGTTCCAAACAAGCGTCAAGTTAGCCATTTTCCCCAAGCATCTTGTTGATTGTTTTTCTGTTCTAGCATGTCCCACAAATTTACCACAAAAGACGAGCAGAGGTCAAGGCATCACAGGAGTAATGTCAATAAAAGTATTTTTTTCTGAACTTCTGTTTTGTCGAAGGCCAAGTTCAACTGTGGGCCTCTAATTTGAGCCTAGTAAATGCAGATTGGTGGAGACAGCTGGCAGCGCAGCGCATAGAGCGAGCCAGGGGTTCTTTCTGCTCTGAAGCTCGCTGCCGTCACGAACACAGGCCGCCATATTTAAAGTGGTGTATTCGAATTCATCGTCTTTGTAAGCTCAGCTCCACAACAACTGCTGTCAGTGTTTACAAAGACACTACAATCCTGTGATTTAACGTACAATACTCGTTTTCGTACTTTCTCCTAAGGTTAGGTGATGGTATGTAACACATGATGTATTAAAATGCATTTTTCCACTTTTACTGCTTCCATAGGAATCCAGACGGTGAGTAGCGGCCAGGTGCTGCTGTTTTTGGCCCTTCCTTTTATCTCGCTGTCCCAGTCTGGTTTTCCAAGTCTGTTTTCCGTCGTGTCCTCTCCGCTCCCTCTCTCCCTCCGCCTGACAGACATGCACCAGCCCTTTGCAGCCCATTACGTCAATTCCCCAACCCAGGGATGCCAGCTGTTGATGTCACCCCTGGGTCTTTTTAATTTGGAGATTTCCGCTGGGCGAGTTGAGGGGAGGGAGGGAGAGGGAAGGGGTCCGCAGCCACGTGAAGAGGGGCAGAACCGTTCTGGACTAGGCCAGGACCGTGGAACTGGAGTGCGGGTGCGCCCCGGGAGTCCAAAACAAGAACCGATCGGGAGACGACTTCACTTGGAGGAGTATTTGGAAGGGGTGTTTAGGAGCACATAGCTGCCTCTGTGACTCGTGACAGCATGTCTGCGACCTGCGAGCGCTGCGGCTATCCCCTTGAGCTGTTAAATGCAGCCTTTCAGCAGTTACGATTTTCCTCCCTTTCAGAGAGGATCAAATGTTCCTACCAAAAGCCTATCTCTCATTCTTTGGATCCCCGAGGCTTTGTGTGGGAGTGAACATCACCTTCCATGTAATTGATTTCATTGGTTTATGGTGGAAGAGCGTCAGCGTCATGCATAAATGCCTCCAACTCAACTGTTGGTGTGAAGACACCTGCCCATAGCTTGTCTCTACAGTACCTGGTTGACGTATTTCTACTCCCTGAACTTTGTCACCTTTTGTTACAACCATAAACGTCAGTGGTGGTTTGGTGAGACGGACCTCGGGTTTTCATGGTGTTTTACAAATAAAAATGTCTGAGAAGGGCTTAGTGGGGGATTGACGAAGCCCTCCTGTGTCTGAGAGTCCAGTATTACGAAGCTGACGAAAAATCTACATAACCAGCAATTTGCAAGTCTTGTCACAGATTCTCATCTGAATTTAGGGCTGAACTTTGGGCCAAACTAACATTTTAGAAAATCCCCCGATCGAAACCAGAGGTCTTAGATTTGCCTCTGCTTCGTTGTGGCTTCTCCTTTCCAGTTGACATTGTGTATGCTCTTGGGCCACAATTTATAAAAGGGTTTGAATCTCAAGGTTTGACCAGGGAGTCATCTATTTGCATTTTGTCAATTACTACGGTCTCATCACAAATTGAAAATGATGGTTGGGATTTTGCTGTTGATGTAAAATCCATGGGCAAATCAACGACTTAATCTGCTGCCCATGAAAACTCTGGTCTGCTTAAAAACCGAGGTTCTATGTTCTTCTATTTCTTCCATAAAGGCCAGAGTTGTCCTACCCTGAACTGTGGGCCTCTTTGCTACGTCTCTCTTTCAGAATCTCCTGTTAGTTTCATTAACTTTGCATAATGGCATAAATTCTGGTTGCTCAAAGTTTCAAAGATGTTTGTGTCGCTTGGGTAATAATAAGTAAAATAATTGGAGGGAAAACAATGTTTCCTTACCCCGTTTGTCTCTGTTTTCCACAGTATCACCCGGTGTCTCTGTGCAACACAAGCGAGGATGAACGACAAGACAGCGGCTTCATCACCATCGTCAAGCTGGAGCAATTAGGTCCCCACTGCTCGCCGCTGCTGGATAAGGTGCCCTTCACACACGAAACACACAACCATGCCCCTCTCTGTGACCCCTTTTCTTTTGTCAGACTTGGCAGCAGAGAGATGAAACATCTCTCCACGCTGCCTTCTCTCCCAGCTCTCCTTCCGCTTTTGGATAAAGTACAAAAGGTTTTTGAGGGAATTATTTGGCAGATTTTTTTTTCTCTTTGGAGAGGACAGTGATCTTTCAGGGTGAGGTCTTGAAAGCAAAAAAAAAAAAGAAAAGAAAGAAAGAAACGAAGGGGCGGTGGGGTGGGAATGGCTCAGCGTTGCTGTGTAGCAAGTGGCTATGAGCCCTGGCTCTGGATGTGAGGCTTTCGGGCCCCAGCTGTCACCGGGCCGATCTCAGCCAGCCAGACGCTAAGGGTTCTCCATTTCTGCTTCCCTCTAATAAGAATGCAGCCAGACCTCTGCAGATTCCAGCCACAATAATTTCAATGCATGTGTAAGTTTTTGTCGGAGCTGACCTAAATCTCCCCCCGGCGTCTTTAAGTATTCTGCCATGCGTCGCTGGCTGGCATCCCTCGGCTCGAAAGCGGCGCGACTTAAACTGTTGCTATTTTTCTCTCCCGTTTTTCAAGTGGTGACAAATTAGCAGGCAGGAGTATAGTTAGGCGGCTCGCTTTTTTTAGCCTGTGTTTTCTTTTCCCCCCTAATTTAAAGCCATGTCGAGGAGCTGCCCGCCGCGCCGACGATGTAGAGACATTCCCACAGTTTCCCTTCTCTTCCCTCCTCCTGTTGCTCCCTGCGAGGGTGGGTTGGTTGATGGCGGGAAATGGGGGGGGATGTGGGAGGTGGGAGCGCTGTCACTCAAGACTGACTGCAGAGAATAGTTTTGATTAAAGCCTTAATGGCAACCCCGTGTTGTCCCATAAACAAAAAGTTCCCTCGCCCTCCCCAACGCTAAAAGAGCGTGGAACAAAAGGCGACCGCTTCCGAGTGCTCGCTCTCTCCCTCCCCGCTGACGGCCTTTGAGATCCAGAGAAGTTAAGGAGGGAGGAGTGTGTGTTTGTGAGGTGGGTGCTGAAGGAGGAGGTGATGGAGGAGGAGGGGAGGGGGTCTTGTTGTTTTGGCTCCCTGGAAACTATGTGTTGCAATAAACTCCACTCCAGCCACCTGCATCCTCCCTTTTCTTGGTGAGATTCAGAGCTTTTGGTCACGGTGGATTTAGTGGAGGGGGGAGTCATTGTGGGGTTGAGGGGGTTTCACCATGCAGCTGTTATGAAGTTCACCCCATGCCTTTTGAAGAGGATGAATCAGAGCGTACTGTACGGGATGTGCGGTGTCGTTCCTGCCTCCGTTCTCTAGATGGCACTTGTTCATAGTTTAGTCTGGCTGCAAGGCGCCCCGGCCGGCCTATAGGAGCCTGGGACGGCCACAGAGGGCTCGTGTTGCGCCACGTACACTTAGAATAGAGCGCAGAGCAAACAAAGTGAGGTTAAGAACCTTAATGGGGAAGGTTTTGTTTTTGTCCTTTGTTTTTGGGTTGGTTTTCAAAGATTCCTCGAGTCGCTGCAAGCAGATTTCTTCACCCATCTGCCTAGTTATTTACCCGAGCTTTGTCACCGTGTTTTTGAACATTTCGGCTGGTGTGGCTCCTAGGATTAAACAATGCACTGATCAGAGATTGGTGGTCGGTTTCCAATTGCGAGTTTGTAAAACCTCCAACCTGTAAGTATCAGTTCAACTGGAGGCAAAAAAAAAAGACATAAACGACAATCGAAAATATATTTTATACTTTTCTGATGAATTTAAAATGGAACAGATGATGATTAGGGTTAAATATGACAAAGATTTTAACAAAAAAACAAACTTTTCAGTTTTTTCTTAATCAGATAAGGCATCGAAGATCCCTTTGATGTTAACAACAGTGCCGGCTGAGCTCATACCTTTGACTTTTCTGTCAGTTGTGTTAAATTTTAAAATCAATAATTAATTAATTGGAGATATGTAGGAGCTTGTCTGTGATCAATCATGGAGTCTTGCTGTTCGAGGTAATGTCAACTTCACTGTTATTTCATAAGAAAGACAACATGATTATGATGGTGACATTTTAAATAGCAATATCATAAATTAGCAATAAGGTGCATGTGTGTATTTTATTAAATGTACCCCTGAAAAGATTACCAACATTTCATCTTTAAGGGAATAATCAAAGCAATTTTTATATGTACATTTAGCCTTTTTGTTACCCGTAATATGTTTTTACTCTACAGACACATAGCTCTTATATAAGCTGCGTTTACCAACTGGAAGAAGGAAAAAAAAAGACAATTTCCAACCAGCCAGTCACAGACCAGTTTGTCTTTGCACCTCTACCTCAGACGCACAGTTTTCTCTTTGTGCGTTTTGGCAAAACAAAGAGAAAAATTTAAGATGCTGTTCTTATCTTTCACTGTATTCTTCTTTCTTGAAACATTCGAATTTGAAGGGAACATTCCTTAGTTTAAATTTATAATAAATGTTCATGTACAATCTTAAGCTTTCAGATAGTGAATGAAGTGGAAGGCATCCAGTTTATTAAAAACCTGTTCAGCTTTGTTTTTTTTGCATGAATCATTTAACACTTTTATAAATTTTACTTTGACTTTTATTATACAGCTCCGGAAAATCCAAAATTTTCCTAAAAGTGTACAAGTTTCCTCTGAGCTGCAGCTGGTGCCCACCAGTGTGTGTAAATGTCTGAATCAGACCCTTCGACCACTCCAGTGGTTTTGCGTCATTCCGCCACACAACACAACCCAAGTGGAGGCTGCATACTTTCTCTCTCTCTCTCCACCAGCATGTTGTGCTGCAGTGGAAAAGATCCGTCCGCTCTCTGCTCGCCTCGTCTGTTTACACGGAGGCTCTGGAAAGGTTCTGGGGTCGAGCAGCGCAGCGACACGGGATCCAGGAGGAAGAATCTGAGAAAAACTCACACTCCACAGCAGTTCGACTTTATTCCAAACACGCTCTCCCATCAGCTACTCCCACTTTGTGTTCAGCTTTGTGAAGCACTTTAACCCTGGGATTGTTTTGTGAAAACAGCTCCTACGGGGACTGAGTCTTGGGCTCTTGCCTGAACTTGTTGACTCTCATAGAGGTTTTCTTATTGATGCTGCCCCCTCAGATGAAAAGACCTCTTGGCCTGCTTTTTGCAGTAATCCTGTTTTCTTTGACTGAGCCTTTGAAGTTCATCTGTTTGCTCATCCAGTATGTGTGTTAGTGGATCATATCATGTCAGGCGCGCTTTACAGACGTTTCACAGCGGATCACATTGTTAATCAATCTGTTTATACACCCGTTTCAATGTGTCACATCCATTACGAACACAAACTATTCCTGATCCCTGGATGAAGACGCCCGCTCATTTCTGCATTCATTAGAGCCGCCTTGTGTCTCATCAAGTCAGTTTTATTCACTTTGTGCGTAATACCAAATATGGCATGTTCTTTTGGCATTTGAATGTGTTAAGGCAGTAAAACATATTTCTTTCAGTATGTACTACTACAACTAGCGGTTAGCATAAAAAACAAATAGGAAATCTAATAAATTTTCCAGCTGGCAACTGGACCACATTCAGCTAAGACATGATGACGTTTCCTGGTCTGAGTTCAACATGATTCCCATTTTCTCGTTGGACACAAATCGAACACGCCATTCATTGTGTGCAGAAGCTAGCAGCAGCTAGCTGCTGCAGGGAAGTTAGCATCAGTTAGAAAACTAGCAAACACTAACGGCCAATGAATATGAACCATTGCTTCAGATTTTGGCAGTTAGCATTATTTTACCGATGCTCTATGCAAATAGTTTCAGCAAAAACTGGGAAACAAAGGCCAAAATGAAAAACAGTCTTTGGGAAATTAGTCTTATTTTTCCATCTTGTGAAAAAACTTAATTCATGTGAATTTATATGTACACATGTCTGTGGTGTGGCAAGAAACTACATGAGTTAGCCTACATGAGTCAGTCGTCAAACATAAATAGAAAAGGTAACATTGAATTATTGATATAGTTAGAAAATAAAGGGTTACTATTACCATATGCACATCCTATTTACTTAATGTCAGCCTGTTGTATGGCCAGTTGTTAATTTGCTATAATGATCAGATTATTCTGAAAATTAGCTGGTTATTGGCGAATTTACAGGTATATTTTGGGTCATAGTCATGTTGCAGGCTCCAGTTCTGGTTCAGCTTAGTTTTTGTTTGTTTTTGGGGGGTTTTAAATATTATAATATTTTATCCTCTGATAAAAGGTAGAATTGTGCTGGACGACGGTGAGCTGTCATCTCCAAATCATGACACTTTCACCTCCACGCGTCACAGTTGGCACCAGGTTTTTTCCCCTGACAGGTTGTGTTTTTCTGGCGCCCTCCTCATGTTGAGATTCAGTTTTCTCAAGAACGTTATTCCAAAATCTCTGCTCTGTCAGGAACACACCGGAATGAATGTTTGTGTTTTAAACAGAACACTACAAATGTTACAGAAATGTAGAGTAGTTTCTTCAAACTTTATTATTATTATTTCATGTTTTGTTTAAATTGACATGAAATATTTATATATTTGACTATTAGAGCCACTCAGAGACTGACAGATTTTCTCTCAAACCACTATATGTACAGGATAAACGGCATTAGAGTGGACACAGCGCAGTGTTTCCCAACACGGCCCACGCACATAGGGCTGGATCTGCAATTTTTGTGTTTGTTTTCCCTTGGGAACGCCGTGAAAGAGGCGCACCTGAACAACTTGTGTCTTATCGCACGGGCGACTGCTGCAACACGCCTCCCTCTGGGCAACACTTAAAGTTGAAAGTGATGGGGAAGGTGAGTTGTGCAGGCGTTGTCTTGGTAACCAGGTGTTTTGGAAGGAGGATTCAAATCGACAGATTAATTAATCAAAAGCAACAGATCTGGAGAGCATTTAACCATCAGGGTTTCTGCGGTTTAGTTTTGCAACGAACCCGCGCACTGTTGCAAAGGAAACCTCTCTCCGGTCGCCGAC